CCCCTGCCTCTTGTGCCCGCAGCCATTATTGCCCTAGCAGGGGCAAAGATCAAGAGAAAGTTACCGTGGCATCGCCGCTCCAGTCTCCTCCAGATATCTTTGGGACTAATTAGGAGATGGTGTAGTTGGGTAGCAGGGAGGGGTGCAAAGTTCCTGCCAATTCGCCTTCGCTGCAGACAACTTACATGTGCAAAGTTTGCTGGGCGGGTGTTTTGGCGCACTCAGCAGCAATTCCTATTGACATTCGAAAGCCAATAGGGGGAGTAGCACAGCTCATGCAAAAGTTGGAAAAAAAACCCATCAAAAAAAGGTACCGGAACGCCGTTCTGAGCTTTCTATGAGAAAAAAAAGCCCTGCAGATTAGTCTTCAAATATTGAAAAGGAGGACATGAAGGAAGACACTTTTCGAGGGAGGACAGAACTTACAAAAGGAGGACTGTCCTCCCTAAAGGACAATTAATGCAATTAATAAAAAACAAGGTAAACCTCTAACATTTGGCTATAAAGATCAAGTGTTCCTTTCCTGACAGAGCAATGGAACACCCATTTCAGCTGACACCTATAAAATGGGACCTGGGGCCAAACAATTGCAGTATTAAGTGCTCCTATTAAACGTGCCAACCAACCAGTTAACCCTGTTCCCTGAAGAGCTTATACAATACACAGACTATCCCATAGCCACAAGAAAACTTTTTCCTGATAGATTAGCTTTTGATTGCTTTAAGATCCCTTGATCCTACCCCATCTCATGCCATTTAAATCAGGAGTGTCCAACTTGGCAACTTTAAAACTGGTGGACTTCATTGGCTGGCTGAGGAATTCTGGGAGTTGAAGTCCACCAGTCTTAAAAGTTGCCAAGGTTGAACACTCCTGATTTAAAGATTTTTCCTTCCTTCCTCCCTTCCTTTAAAATAATAAGTATTTGGCTAGGGGAGTAGCAATTCCTTTGGTCCTATCTTTTTAGGCCATTATAGAACTAAACATTTCCTTACCCAATGCTACTTAACCACTAGGAAGATACTTGTTTCTTCCCTGGGTAAATTTAACAAGGTCAGGTTCTCCCAAGTATGGATCCTAGTCACATTCAGGCCTATTGTCCTGTTGATATAAAAATAAAGGAAAGCAATGCATTAACAGAGGGATAGAATCAAGATCACGTGAAGTATTAATGCCACTTTACACTGCCTTGGTAAGGCCACACTTGGAATACTACATCCAGTTTTGGTCACCACGATGTAAAAAAGATATTGAGACTCTAGAAAGTACAGAGAAGAGCAACAAAGATGATTAGGGGACTGAAGGCTAAAGCATATAAGGAACGGCTGCTGGAATTGGGTAGGTCCAGTTTAATGAAGAGAAGGAGAAGGGATGACATGATAGCAGCGTTCCAGTATCTCAGGGACTGCCACAAAGAAGAGGGAGTCAAGCTATTCTCCAAGGTGCCTGAAGGCAGGACAAGAAGCAATGGATGGAAACTCATCAAGGAGAGAAGCAACCTAGAACTAAGGAGAAACTTCCTGACAGTTAGAACAATTAATCAGTAGAACAGCCTGCCTCCAGAAACGGTGAATGCTCCAACACTGGAAGTCTTTAAGAAGAGACTGGACAGCCATTTGTCCGCAATGGTGTAGGGTTTCCTGCCTGAGCAGGGGGTTGGACTTGATGACCTCCAAGGTCCCTTCCAACTTTATTATTATTATTATTATTATTATTATTATTATTATTATTATTATTATTATATAACTACACACATACAGGTAGTCCTCGACTTACAACCACTTGTTTAGTGGTTGCTCAAAGTTACAACGGCATTGAAAAAAAATGACTTATGACTGTTTTTCACACTTATGGCCATCACAGCATCCCCATGATCATGTGATCAAAATTTGAACACTTGGCAACTGGTTCATATTTATGACGGGTGCGGCGTCCTGGGGTTATATGATCACTTTATGTGACTTTCTGAACTTAGCAACAGCAATTTTGTGCTCAATTGTGGTCATAAGTCAAGAAATTACCGAGGGCTTGGCAAACTTCCAGCTGCATGAATGTGGTGCATGAGATTTATCTCTGTGGATTATTTGGACATTCCTGTTTATTTAAAACAAAGCTGCATGGTTAATCATTGAGGCTCAGCAAACACCAGCAAGTCGCTATGAAACGGCTGAATTAGCTAGTTGGGATCACCTTCTCTTCATAGCTTAATCTTAAATTCTGCTTTGGAGCCTTAACATCTTTCTCAACTTGCTGCCCAATGGTTCTAAATCAGAATTTTCCAACCTTAGCAACTTTAAGGCACGTGGACTTCAACTCCCAGAATTCCTCAGCCAACACATTTTGCCACAGTTGGGAAATTCCGTTCTAAATCATTTGGTAGAGATTTAAAGATTTTCTTTTCCTGGTTCTTCTATTGGGAAAAAAAAAATCTGTGAACCCAAACAGCTGTTTTAGCAGATGCTTCCAGCTAAAAACTACCCTCCCTGAGAACTATGTATGCCAACCTGTTTAGGCACCTAACTGCAAGTCTCTCCTTTTGGGCAGTCATAATGAAGGCATTGTTTTTATTAGTTGCGAAGTTGTGTCCAACCCATCGCGACCCCATGGACAACATTCCTCCAGGCCTTCCTGTCCTCTACCATCTTCTGGAGTCCATTTAAGCTCACGCCTACTGCTTCAGTGACTCCATCCAGCCACCTCATTCTCTGTCGTCCCCTTTTTCTATTGCCCTCAATCTTTCCCAGCATTAGGCTCTTCTCCAGTGAGTCCTTCCTTCTCATTAGGTGGCCAAAGTATTTGAGTTTCAACTTCAGGATCTGGCCTTCTAAAGAGCAGTCAGGGTTGATCTCCTCTAGGACTGACCGGTTTGAACGCCTTGCAGTCCAGGAGACTCGCAGGAGTCTTCTCCAGCACCATAGTTCAAAGGCCTCAGTTCTTTGGCGCTCAGCCTTTCTTATGGTCCAACTTTCACAGCCATACATTGCAACTGGGAAAACCATGGCCTGGACTATACGCCCTTTTGTTGGCAGGGTGATGTCTCAACATATTCTCGGCATCACCTGGCATGACAAAGTTCCAAGCAGCGCAGTCCTGAAATGTGCTGGAATCTCTAGCATGTATACACTATTGAAACAGCGACGTCTACGCTGGCTTGGGCATGTCGTGAGAATGGCTGATGGTCGGATCCCGAAAGATCTCCTGTATGGAGAACTAGTGCAGGGAAAGCGCCCTAGAGGGAGACCTAAGCTGCGATACAAGAATATCTGCAAGAGGGACTAAAGGCCTTGGGAATGGACATTAACAGCTGGAATCCTTGACCTCTGATTATTCAGCCTGGAGGCTAAAGACGCAGCATGGTTGGAAATACGAAGAGAAACCTGTACGGCAGGCTGAGGCAAAGAGACAGTATCGGAACCAGTGAAATCTGAGGGCTGGACAGGGGACAGATTATATCTGCCCTCATGTGCAAGGGACTGCCATTCTCAAAGCCACACCAGATGCTGCCTTAGGACCTCTTTTCAGAGCACGATACCATAGTCTCTCAAGACTGAAGGATGCCAATGATGATGTCTCTGCTTTTTAGTATGCTGTCTAGATTTGCCATAGCTTTCCTCCCCAAATGAAGGCATATTCACACCAAATTAAATAAATCATAACCAGTAGCTGTATTCTTTCTAGCCACACAGCTCCACAGCCCAAGGGCAGCTCCCGTCAGAATTAAAGCCCCCTGATCCAGGCCACAAAGAATCTGGATGACTACCGGCCAGCAGCAGAGACGGAGAAACTCTTAGCATTTTTGCCTCCGTCTACAAGAGTGGTTCTCAACCTGTGGGTCGGGACCCCATTTGGGGTCGAACGACCATTTCACGGGGGTCGCCAAACAACGCAATCCGCCATTTTTTCCCCCTTTTCCTTAGCTGTGCTACTCCCTTTTATTCTATTGGCTTTTGAAAGCCAATAAAATAGACTCTCTTGAATAGAGTCTAATTCTAATGGCTTTCAAAAGCCAATAGGAATTGTCCAGGCTGTCTCTGCCCTGCTGAGCCTGCCAAAAGTCCCATTCTGCAAACAGTGCTGCACCAGTTGACTAGTCCTCGACTTACGATCGGTTGAGTAGTCCTCAACTTACAACTGGTTGGGGGTCGCGGCATTAAAAAGGTTGAGAACCACTGGTCTACAAAATTGTGGGAAGAGTTACCTATCACCACCAAGGCCCCACTACCCCAATCCTCTTAGAAATGCTAAACAAGGTTGCATCTGGTGAATACAGCAGTCGGATGCAAGCATCAGAGCCACACTGTAGTCTAATGTGGGAAAAACATCCCCGAAGGACAATTTTCAACCATTTCTGTATTGTTGCTCTAATTCAGGGTTAGGCAACCTCGGCTCTTTTATGACTCATGGACTTGAACTCCCAGAATTCCTGAGTCAAAGTCCATGAGTCATAAAAGAGCCGAAGTTGCTTACCCCTGCTCTAATTCAAGGCATGTCCATGGGATTACCAGACTTCCACCGGACTAGAGGGAGCCCATGCCTTTTAAGACCTCCGGTGGCACATCTTCCTAGTGTTGGATTAAAGTCTTCATCCTGATTCATCCAAGCCGGGAATAAGCAACATGGCGACTGCTTTGGGAAGGTTACAGTTTATTGAAGAAGCAGAAAGATGGTTCTTCAGGAAAGAATAGAGGAGAGAAAGGCTGAGCACATGGGTAGTAGGGTTTTTTTGGAAGTTTCCTGTTTCTGTGGCATGAATTTTGAGGCTATTTCTGAGTGCTTTTCTAGGCCTTGATATCTATGGGGTTAAGCCTATTATCATATCCTGCTTCCCTGGTGGTGGGGCTAATGACTCCTAGAGTTTGGGTGGGGTATGCAGATTTTAAGTCTCTTTGTCTTGACAAACTTTCCGATGGTTTTACATTTGCATTTGTATAGGGCTGGCTCCTGTTTGGGATACAGAGATTTGGGGGCAGAGCTGGCTCCTGCTTTTAAAAATCCTTTTGAGGAAAAACATATTTTTCTGCCCTTTTAATATTTCCTTCTCCGGGGCTCTGACTTCCCATACTAGTCTATAACCTTCTTGATCCCCAGCCAATCCGAAATGCGCAGAAAGAAGACCCCCCCTCCTATTTAGGGAACGCTAGACTGCAATCCCCAGCATGCCTTGCTCCTTTCCCTCCTTCGCTCTCTGACTGGCGGGGATGCCTGTTCGAACGCAGGCAAGGCGGGCCAATGGGAAGCGGCCTAGTGTCCCAGGGCCAGGCTGGAACAAAGCGGTATTGGCTCAAGCGGTCAGTGTCCTCGCCTGGAGGCCGACGGCAGGATGACGGTGCCCAGGTGGGAGCGCGTAATCCGGCTGCTGCTCTGCGCGGCGGGGCTGGCGCTCTCTATTTACGCCTTGCACGTAGAGACTTCCAAGGAGCGCGACGCCGCCTACCGGGCTATGTGCGACATCAGCCCCGATATCAGCTGCTCCCGCGTCTTCACCTCCAGGTCGGTGGTGCCCCAACTCCGATCCAGCGGATCCTAAGCGTCTCCGCCCTCTTGCGCTTGCATCCACTTCCATTAAGTGGAAGGGGTGGAGTTGAGGAAGCGCGGAGAATACCCGAGCGACTTCTCCTTTTCCAGGTGTAGACGTTTATTCCGGACGGGAGACCACCAGGGAATTCAGAGAGCGGGAAGGTTGCGCTATTCTTGGCTCTGCCTTCCGCGCCTGGACGGAGGTTTAGGGGGCACAAGGACGCTTTTAGAGTCGAGCCTGGTTTTTGGACATCCGGTAATTTTCCTAGCAACAATCCGGAAGTGGCTGTTCTTTTTGCCTCCTTTAAGGCGTTTTTCTGCCCTCCCAATCGAACCTGCAGCCCTGGGGCCCCCTGGTGGTCTCCTGTCCATGTATTGCAGGGGTCCTCAACCATGGCAACTTTAAGACTTGTGGACTTCAACTCCCAGAATTCCTCAGCAAAGCTGGCTGAGGAATTCTGGGAGTTGAAGTCCACAAGTCTTAAAGTTGCCATGGTTGATGACCCCTGAATTGTACTGCATGAAGCTGGCCTGATCTTAGCCCAGAAGAAGCCAATCGGGTCTTGCTATTGGTACTGCTTCTTTTCTGCTACCGCAGCCTCCTCAAACTACTCTCCCTGTGTGTGGGATGGCTGTGGCTGGTGGCAATCCTGCTGCAACTCTTGTTGGATCTGTGTGCAACACCATGGTGCGTGTACAAAAGGGGGCATCCCCTAAGAGCAGTGCTGTTTTTGTCATTTCTTGTTCCTCCTTGCAATGGCTTCTTCTGGCAAAGGCTTTATTTTATCATGTCATATCATAACTTTTATTTTAAAGATTTATATTTAGGGGATAAGCCTCCCAGTGCATCAGGAAGATGGCAGTATTTAGGCAGCAATCCCTCTGTTGTGGCTGGGGAATTCTGGGAGTTGAATTCCAGGCATCTTCAAGCTGCCACAGTTGAAACACCCCTGGTCTACAGACTTTTGCTTAGGAAGCTGAATTTTAAAAGGTGGTAGTCGCTAAATTAATAATAATAATGATAAAGTTGGAAGGGACCTTGGAGGTCATCTAGTTGAACCCCCTGCTCAGGCAGGAAACCCTACACCGTTTTGGACAAATGGCTGTCCAGTTTCTTCTTAAAAACTTCCAGTGCATTCATCGCTTCTGGAGGCAGGTTGTTCCACTGGTTAATTGTTCTAACTGTTGGGAAGTTTCTCCTTAGTTCTAGGTTGCTTCTCCCTTTGCAGAATTGCAGAAGATTGAAGGATGAGAAAAGCTTGGGGTAGGGGGGGTTGCTGTTAACTGTGAGAATTGAAGGGGGCCATCTTTTGGAAAAGTTATGGCTGGAGAAGGAGATGAAATTCTGCTTTAGCTTCAAGCACCCAGAAGCTCTCTGTGCATATACAGAATGCATTTCAACTCACTCTTCCATGACCAAACTGCCCCCCCCCTGCACAGCTGATATTATAGAGCTGACTAATGTCTCTTGTGATCTCAGCTTTCAGTCTTCTGGATATGTTCTCTCATGATAGGTAGTCCTTGACTTATAATCATTCATTTAGTGACCCCCTCCAAGTTACAACAGCACTGAAAAAGGAAGTTATGACAGGTTTTCCCACTTAACGACCATTGCAGCATCCCCATGGTCATGTGATCAAAATTTGGGTGCATAAATGTAAGCCAGATTTGTTCAATGGCTACATGATTCACTTAAGAACCACTATGATTTGCTTAACAACTGTGGCAAAAAGAGATGTAAAATGGCGCAAAACTCACTTAACAACTGACTTGCTTAGCAATGGAAATTTTGAGCTCAATTGTGGTCATAAGTGAGCCTTTACAAAAAAAAAGGGATCAGAATTACACAGTTTAGGTTCCATTCTCCCTGGGATAATGTTCTGTGCTGTATTTGGAAATGTTTCAGCTGCAGGAGAGGAGTTGTGTGCATTAATCATTTGTAAAAAAATAATAACAATAGGTGAGATACAAATAAATAAAAATTCTCCATGCAAATGAAAAGGACGGTCCTTCCGTTCAGAGAAAGTTAATTATGGAGAAAGTTTTATCCCAGGCTGGAATAGAATCGAACTTTTGCAAGGTTTGATACTGTGGTTCTCTTCTCCCCTGTTCTGTCTCTTCATCTACGTGGCTCCTGGCCCAGGACTCTCTACTCTACAATTTAGTTGAAGTGGCCTTCTCATTTTGGTCTCTGGTTAGGCTTGAACATAATTTCCAGGAAATCTGAGGAGTTGGGGGAAGACAGTCTTTCCCAGCAGAACCAGCATTTGAGCTGTAATGTGAATTCTCTTTTCCCGCCCCACTGAAAAAGCCTTGATTGATTTTTGGATGCCTCTCAACTCCAATGACAGATGAGTGTCTTCTGGAGGCCAAGAGAGAAAAGAACTGAAAAGGATACAAAAGAGAGAATAGAATAGAACAGAATAGAATAGAATCGAATCTTTATTGTCACTTTAAATGTACATTAATCAGCATACATTAAAATGAAACTTGTGGCATTCAGCTCTCAAAAAAAAATACCATTATGCATATACCCACACACACGCACACATATATGACACAGAGAAACATCACAGTCTAGTTCGAATGTATACATATACATGGCAGATTTTTTTTTCTTTTGAAAATTTACAAGAAGGATGGCATAAGGAACAAAGCTGTTACAGAATCTAGTAGTTCTGTTATAAATACTTCGAACCCTCCTCCCAAAGGGGAGCAGCAGAAACAGACCGTGAAGTGGGTATATGGTGTCCCTAACAATGCGTCGAGCTCTAAGCACATAATGCTTATAAGCAATATCCTGAACAATGGGAAGCGAGCTTTCTATATTCTTTTCAGCTGTCCTTACCACTCTCTGTATGGACCTTCTACTGTGGCTCTGCTACCACCAAACCAAGCAGTGATGCAGTTTGTTAAAACACTCTCAATCGTGCCTCTGTAAAAAGTGGTCAGGACAGGAGGAGAAAGATGTGCTCTTCTTGTCTGACGCAAGAAATCCAGACGCTGGTTTGCATGCTCCACTAAAGATAATGTAAAAGTTGGCACAGTTTCCCATCATTTGCAAATATTGCATGAGCTGCACTGATTGGCAGTTGACTTCTGGATGCAATTCATGATGCTGGTTTAAAACCTTGCATAGCACAGGGCCTGGTTACATAAGGACTGCTTATCTTTAATTATCTCTGTCTGTCTGGTTTGATTCAGCAGGGCGGGTCAGCTTTGGCAGTTCCTGCCCTCTCAACCAATTCCCCACCAGAGATTCATGGGGCTTCCAGCCTGATGGCATTCTGGAAATTATAGAAGACTCCCAGACTTTGGGGTCAGAGGGACCATGAAGCTCTCTTTTGTATTTTCACTGTGTTTTTGGTTTTCCTACTTTGCTCTTCTGGTTCGTTGTTTAATTTTTTATTTAATAAGCTGGTTTTTTTGTCGTAAGATGTCCAGAAGCATGTGGGAGTTTGGGGAGCCTGTAAAATAAAATAAAATATGAGGCAAGGGAGGGGCAGAGTGATGCTCCATTTGCTTGTTTTCTTGCCAGTCCATGGTATTTTCAGGAGTCTTCTCCAACGACGAAGTCGAGAAGCATTAATACAGCTAGTTCTTGACTTACAACCATTTGTTTGGTGACTGTTTAATGTTACAGTGGACCTAGAAAAACTTACTGTGCATACTGTAGGAAAAGACAAGGCAGCATCTGGAGGTGAAGTCAAGACAGGAATTAGCCTGGAGTTGATACGTTCCCACAAACAAGTCCAGCCTCCTTAAATTCTGTTAAGTCTTATCTAGCACCAGTTTAGTGCTGGCTATTAGTTGATTAGATTCTTGTGTATAGACATGAGCTGTACATGTGCAAGGTCGTCCTGACTCTTCATGCCCGACACACTTAAAATTGTCTGTAGCATCTCCGAGCTCAAGGGAACAGAATTTGGGCATTTGGTAAGCAGCATGTGTTTGGGATGGGCGCAGCGTCCCCGAGTCATGTGATCACCATTTGCAACCTTCCTGCCCGACTTCCAGTAAAAAGCGACCTCAATGAGGGAAGCAGTTTTGCTTAATGACTGCATGATACTGAACGACTGCAGTGGTTGGCCGAACAGCCAGTCATAAAATCGGGCGTGAGGCACCAAATAACCACCTTGCTTAACAACAGAATTTCTGTTGTTGATCATAAATGTGTAGTCTTTTTCTCCCGTTTCTTCTAAGTCCAATTTCCCTTCTGTGAAGTGTCACAGGAAAGACTATATCAGTGGTGGCGAACCTTTTAGAGTACCCAAATCGCAACCCATAACCCATTTATTTATCGCTGGGTGCCGGGTGGGCGTGGCCACGGCCGACTCGGTGGGTGTGGCCGCAGTTGGTGTGGCCACCTCGATGATGCTCGTGGAGGAGGGACACCTGTGGGGGCCGGGCAGGATTGGGGGTGGTCCAGGGGGTCTCTGGCGGGTGAGAGCTCCTTTCCGGCCGTCCCCGGGCCGTCTCTGCCCACGCCAATGGGGCTGCACTGCGGAAGGAAGATGGCGGCTCTGATTCCCCCCTGCTGGCTGCCCCCCCGCCCCATGCTCCTTCTACGCACTCCTACATGACCACAGTGTGGATGAGAGGCTCGGCCGGCGGGGGGGTAGTGGCTTTCCTCCGCAGAGGCATCCCGGCCCTCTAGCCCCCCCTAGCCAGACCCCCTCGACTTTCCCCAGCCAGGACCTGATGACCCCCACCTTCCTGCCCCCACCCCAGCTGACCCCTTCGAGCAGCCCAGCCCGACCAAGACAAAGGGAAGGCAAGGCAAGGCAGAGAACCAGTTGTTAAAATGATTTTAAACCCACCACTGGTCACTTCCAAAGGCCACTCACTCACTCTCCTGCCAAGACTGCTCTTTTTATAGGTTCCCTCACCCCGCCCAGCTCTCGCAGCTCTTCCCAGACTCCGCATGCATGGAGAGGGGGAGGAGAGGAGCCCAGCAATGGTGCACCTGCCCACAGGGATGGCTCTGCGTGCTGCCTGTGGCACGCGTGCCATAGGTTCGCCACCACTGGACTATATCCTGCACCTCTTCCAGGACTGTGTGTTGTGTTTTAATTTCCCCATCTAGCTTCAAGTCAAGATTCTCAGGAATTTCACATCCCAATCTCTGCTTATCGTCGCTGTAGTCATTACCCAGCATTATATCTTCCAGGTGGGGTCGTGGTTTTGGCTTGGTGGCAGACCTTCTGGGACCTCACAGCCTCTTCAATCAGCCAAACAGCATTTTTGGGATTATTTTCTACATTCTGCAGATACTTCTGGGTGAGTAAGAGGCAGAGGACGTGCAAGAGAAAGCATGATGAAGAGAGGTCCGTCCTTTTGCCCTCTTGAGATCCAGATTGCCTCACAACCCTGTTGCTCTTGGTTAAGGTGTATAGCTTGTCTTTTCTTTAAGTCAGACATGTCAAACACAAGGCCCGGGGGCCGGATGCGGCCCACGAAGTGGTTTCATGTGGCCCACGAAGCCATCCTAGAAACAGTAAGGGAACGGCCCCTTCTGCCTTGGCCCTGGCCCAGACCAGCTGGGAGCCAATGTACAATTTTGTGGTGGCCATCTATGCTCCACAAGACCGTCTGGAAAGAGCTTGTTGCCGCAGGTGCTTGAGGGCCAGGCTGGGCATTTGACCTCTGCTGCCTAGGACTCTGGGCAGCCTGCGCTACCATCCAGCCCCCACCCCCACCCCCCGCATGCCTGAGAGGAACAGTGAGGCACCTCCAATGGACCATGCCTTGGCACTTGCCCCGATCCCAGCCCCTTCTGCCAGAGATCCTCAGATCTGTCCCACTCCTGCCCAGGCCCCCACAGGCACCCTTGACGCGAACGATGTAGAGCTGGCCATGCCCACCCAGTAGGCCACACCCTGGCCACACCTACCCGTCCCTCCCCCCGAGAGCAACCGCAATACTGATGCGGCCCTCAATGAAATTGAGTTTGACACCCCTGCTCTAAGCGCTTAGAACTGTTCACATTGTGGGGTTGTCAAGAGTGAAAATTTGGCAGCTACGTGCCTCTCTGTTTGTCTCTTGCCATTAGAATAAAGGGGGGGAAGGTGTTGTTTTTGAATGGATTAGTTAGAGAAAGTAAACCTTCGCAGTTCTACGGAAGCTTGCTGAAAGTCGGCAGCATTGAAACCTTTCAAGGACTTTCTAGCAGGTGTGAAGAAGGTAGCAGACGGGTCTCATAACAAAGAGAACATGTTTGCACGAGCTACGTTACGTCTGGTGGGGTTTGGCTGGGAAAGTTATTGTTACATGGTACGGTCTGATGCCTTGGGATTTTTAGAGTTAGTTTTACCTCGCCTTTACTAGGCCTTGTATTCAATATACAGTAAGCCCTTCAGAAATGAAAATAATCCTTGGAAACTTGAGCTGGAAGTTGACAGGGTTCTTGTAAACTAGGCCAGTGGTGGCGAACCTGTGAACGCGTGCCAGAGGCAGCACTCGGAGGGCATGCACACCGTCGCCCCAGCCCCGCCTCCCCCCACAGCCCCCTCCTCACCAGCAGCCCCCCCCCAGAGGAGAGTCGCCCCTGGGCGTGGCCCGCGCGGAGCAGCGCAGCCAAGGACATGGCAGCTGGGCAGCAGGGACAAGACTCCTCCCTTGTGCCCTGTCGCACGCAGATGATGCTGCAGGGCGCGGGTGGAGGGCGTGACCACCATGGCACTGCAGGGCCACCTGGGCGATCTGCGGCAGGCCATTGAGGTGGTGGGTGGGGTAGGGCATGGAGCGGGAGTGGGCGGAGCGGGGATGGGGGCGGGGGGGGGTTGGGCATTCTCTAAAACAGACATGTCAAACACAAGGCCCAGGGGCCGGATGCGGCCCGCGAAGTGGTTTCATGTGGCCCACAAAGCCATCCTGGAAACAGCCCTGGCCCAGGCCAGCCGGGAGCCAATGTACAATTTTGTGTTGGCCATCTATGCTGAAATGCATTCAGTCTTAGCTCCATAAGCCACCCCCCCCCCCTGCATGGCCTGAGAGGAACAGTGAGGCTCCTCCAGTGGACCCTGCCTTGGCACTTGCCCTGGTCCCACCCCCTTCTGCCAGAGACTCAGATCTATCCCACTCCTGCCCAGGCTCCCACAGGCACCCTTGATGCGAACGATGTAGAGCTGGCCACGCCCATTCAGTAGGCCACACCCACTCTGTCCATGCCCACCCAGTAGGCTGCACCCACCCTGGCCACACCCACCCGGCCCCATGAAGGCAGCCGCAATGCTGATGCGGCCCTCAATGAAATTGAGTTTGACACCCCTGCTCTAAAAGATTCGCCATCACTGAGCTAGTAGGCTGTCTTCATAAATGCTCATCCAAGCAGGTTTAGCTAGTGCAGTTTCTTCATGCGGCTCCCTAGCCAGCATTAATTCATTGTCTTCCTTGGCAGAAGAAACAGCGGGCTGCTTTATCTTCAGGCTTACTCAAATATTCATAATACAGGTTGTCCTCAACTTATGACCATAATTGAGCTCAGAGTTACAGTCGTAAGTCATGCTAGTCATTAAGTAGGTCACCATGTGACTGCACCCAATTTTACAAGCTTCTTTGTAGGGGTGGTTAAGGGAATCCATTTTAGCCAATAAGTGGGGGTTGTTGTTTTTTGCCAGAAACTGGAATTAATGCTAGTTTCTAGCAAAAACATCATGGATAATAAGTTAAGGACTACTTGTGTTGTTCTTGCTTGAATCATGAGCACCAACAGAAGAGGATTTGGAATAGGAGGGGTGGGAAGCAAATAGAAGATGATAAATGCTGGGTAAAATCCCAGGTCTGCAAAAAGGCAGAAAAGAAAAATCTTCAAAAAAAAAAATTTTTTTTTGCAGGACAGAATGTGCTTAGTAGCTAAGGAATGTGATACAGGAGTTGCACAAGAGTTGAACTATGGGGACACCAAAGATAAAGAACAGGAAGTTATCTTCGGAGGGAGATTTTACAGGGATAGGTGGGCACTCCGTAGTTAGCACAGGAAAGGACAAGTGAGAAACAGATGTAAGCTGGGCTCATGTGTTATGATGAACCATGGCTTGCTTAACCATAGTTTAATCAAACATGAAGTAAATTCACACAACCGTGGTAAGCCCTGAACCATGATTCACACAAACCTTCGAGCCAAGCCACCTTTAAGTCTTTCTCTAGTGCAGTGTTTTTCAATCTGAGCAACTTTAACACTGTTTTTGAACCCTGACAAATTTAAGATGTTCAGATTTCAACTTCCAGAATTCCCCAACCAGCAAGGGGGGGGGGATTCTTCCTGCAGCCTGCATGGCAGGCTAGGGAATTGTGGGAGTTGAAGTCCATGCATCTTAAAGTTGCTCAGATTGAAAAACACTTCTCTAGAGCAGGGCTCTTCAGACTTGGCAACTTTAAGACTTGTGGACTTCAACTCCCAGAATTCCTCAGCCAGCCAGGTATTCTGGGAGTTGAAGTCCACAGATCTTAAAGTTGCCAAGTTTGAAGACACTTGCTCTAAGGCAGGGGTAGGCAACCTTGGCTCTTTTATGACTTCAACTCCCAGAATTCAACTCCCAGCATGGCTGGCTCAGGAATTCTGGGAGTTGAAGTCCACAAGTCATAAAAGAGCCAAGGTTGCCTACCCCTGCTCTAGGGTGTGAGCTCATTGATCAAGTCCTGTTTTTACTATTAACTCCTAATAGCAGCATTTCTGTCAAATTGCTGAAGAGAAGCTAACTCTGGTTCCTCCTCATAGGTTTCTTTAACCACAACCTGGCAGCCATTACTCTAGTGGGCTCTTCGTTGGTCTCCATTGCTGGATCTCTCTACTTGGCCTACATCCTTTTTTATGTGCTCCATGATTTCTGTGTGATTTGCATCAGCACCTACATCCTCAACTTTGCCCTCCTGTTTATAAACTACAAGCGCCTCGGCTACCTCAACCGTCCACCCCAGCCGAAGGCAAAAGCTAAAAGGCACTGAACTCCAGGTCCTTTAGGCCTTGACAACCCCTGGACCTTATTTTTGAAGATGACCAAGTAGACTTAGATCGTTTAGACACCATCTTCATCTTTCTGCCCAGGAAGCCATGTTTTTCAGCACGTCTCTCATCATCCTTCAGACTCCAAACATCTCAGCTACCTGATTTCTACTACCTGGGTCTAAAATGGAAGCTACCTTGCATGGTGCAAACCAAAATTGAGCTGGTTTGATTTTACAACTTGTTAAGCGGCATTTTTCCTTAGCTCTTTTAAATTGTTTTATATGTATACTCATTTTGTACAATTAGAGCAGTGGTTCTCAACCTTTTTAATGCCGTGACCCCCAACTGGTCGTAAGTCAAGGACTACTCAACTGGTGCAGCACCATTTGCAGAATGGGACTTTTGGCGGGCTCAGCAGGGCAGAGACAGCCTGGACAATTCCTATTGGCTTTTGAAAGCCAATAGAATTAGACTCTATTCAAGAGAGTCTATTCTATTGGCTTTCAAAAGCCAATAGAATAAAAGGGAGTAGCACAGCTAAGGAAAAGGGGAAAAAAAATGGCGGACTGCATTGTTTGGTGACCCCCGTGAAATGGTCGTTCGACCCCAAATGGGATCCCGACCCACAGGTTGAGAACCACGGAATTAGAGGTTATTCTTGATGTGTAGAAAATGATAAATGGAGGAGTTTTATTAGTGGATTAAAGTGTAGGGGAAGGTTTAATATAGGGATAGGTAGCAGCAACATAATATGGGCAACCAGGTGATCGATACCTGATCCTTTGTCATATGCATGGCACATATCACATGCCTGTTAAAAGAGGCAGGGGCTTATCATTCAGTTATACCTGCCATTTTGATGCCCTACTTAATATAAACTTTTAAGGATTTTGGACCATGATATTAAAAGCGTCTCCCCATTGAACAGGGGCTGCTTAAACCAACACCGTTTCACACTGATAATCAGGCTTGATTTACTTTTCCCATCATTAATTTCCTTTGCCCCGTGTTAAGCTGACCGTATTATTTGGCACACTGAAAAAATGTATCCTGAGCAGCAGACAGTGAACCATAATTGCAAAAAAATAGTTGCAGATAATTATTTTCATCACAGATCAAATACGACTACACCTTGTTGATAAAATAAATATGAGACTGCCTTAGGTCCACAGCCCAAATTATTATGTTTAGTGGATTGTGAAATGAAGATTATAAACAGACCATCTATAAACAGTTACAGGTAGCTCCTGACTTATGACTTCAATTGGGATAGAAATCAGGTTGTACGTTGTTCCAGTCGTAAGCTGAAGCATCCATATCACCCCTACATTTTTTACTGTGGTTGTTTAGTAAACCACCCCAGTTGTTAAGAGAATCACATGGTCGTTACACAAGCCCATTCTTCTGAATTTGCTGGGGGTTTTTTTGCCTGAAACCAGCAAACACATATCCTAAATCATGGTCAGGGGACATTGCAAATGTACATGTAGATGTAAGCCAGTTTTTAAGAGCTCCGTTTGTGGTCACATGACTATGAGGCTGTGAGCACATTTTACGATAGCTGGATGTTGTACAGGCCACAAAGCTGTCATGATGAGGCTGTCATAACATCTGGTTGTAAAACAACTGGTTGTAAGTCAAGGACTACTTGTAATTTCTCTTGTAGGAAGCAAACTCAAAAATATTTCGGCATATTTGTGAAATAAAGTAAGAACGTAATTTTCGGAACAATATGTGTATTCTAGACATGATAATTATCTTGTAATGAAATGAGGGAAATTTGGGTTACCCTAAGTTTAAACATTATGGTTATTAATGGCTAAATTGGAATATGATAATTGGAATTAAGTAAAACTTAAAAACAGGACTTGGATATGTATAAGTAAAACTTTATTGATAAATGTATTGATTGATTGAGCTTTATCTAGAAATGTATTAACTTGGAATATGATATAATAATAATTAAGGGAAATAGAGAGGGAACCTTTAATGATGTAACCTGAGATATACATGAATGATTTTGTTATTGGACTATTGATTACCCTGTCACCACGCTGCTTCCTAATTACTTGGATGTAAAAACTGAAAAATTAATAAAACTTGTTATAAAACAAATATTTCGGTATACAGAGATGTTCTCGCAAACCAAAAATCCAAAATTAATAAAAATAAGGGGTCTGAGCTTGGTTGTCGCAGACGTTTCATTACCCAAATTAGGTAACATCATCAATCCTCTGAACCCTGATGACGTTACTTGGTATGGGCAATGAAACGTCTGCAAGAAAACAACCAAGTTCAGAGAGCACCAAGGATCCCTCATTTCAACTCGGAGCTACAAATATTCTCCTTTATTGGTAGCAAAAATAAATCCAAGAGCATTCTTTTTCAATGGTGAATTTACAAAAATTGAATTATGACATATTCAGCCATTTAAAATAAAACTTAACATGTTAGACTTAAATTGTACAAAGGTAGTTTAGATCAAGGCTTTTCAACCAGTGGTACAGGTACCACCTGTGGTACATTGGCATCTGGCAGGTGGTACACGACCATCCTAGAAAGGTAGCGGGGGAGGGGAATGAGCTGAACCTGTGGCAGCACCGCACAAGCCTGAGCGAGAGATGGCTGGAGCTGCAGGGCTGTCAGGGCTCAGCGGAAGCGCCAGGATCAGTGCCGCTTTCCAGCTGATCGGCGCTTCTTCGGGGCTGTCAGGACTCAGTGGAAGCACCAGAACCAGCGCCAGGCTCCAGCTGGAGCTCAGTGCTGATCCTGGCACTTCTGCTGAGCCCAGAAGAAGTGCCGATCAGCTGGAATGTTGCAGCCTCTCCAGGGTCTTGTGATTTACATTCAGATGCGTGGCAACTGATTCATATTTATGACGGTCACAGTGTCCCAGGGTCATGTGAAGTGACCAAAACCTGCTGCAACCACCCAGCAGACAGGGGGAATAAAAACCAAACACTCCCCCCTCACCCCCGCTCCCAATCTTCAACAGAAATGCTCACAACAATGAAAACCTTGGACAGGAGGAAGAGCGCCACCGGGTGGGCAGGCAGGTGTCTTGCTCAGCTGTGGCTTGGGGGAGCACTTTTTTCAGTGATTGTAACTTCGAACAGTCCCTAAGCGAACTGTTGTAAGGCGAGGACTACCTGTACCTTATTACTTTTTTTCTTTTGGTCAACAAGTTTTTGACACCTTGCTAGGCGACTGGTGGTACTCAGATGTTGCCATATCCTAAAAGTGGTACAATGGGTGAAAAGGTTGAAAAGCCCTGGTTTACATTACTATTATTTTAAACACTACACTATTTTGATTTTCTGTATTGGGCACCAAAAGTTCCTGAGCCATTTCTACGTGTATAACAAAATATATTTGCCAGCCACTGGGGCTAATATTTCATTTGTTTTAATAGAATCACTTTCCAGCTACTTATTCCTGTTGTAGGAAGAGAAAGTTGGGCAGAAGGAACATATGGGTTCTTTTTTAAACATTATAATTATGTTTATAACAAGCAGCAACTATTCCCATTGATTTTTAGATGAAATAATAAATGGAAAGATTTGAAAAAATGGAGGAACTGTTCTCTCAGCTAGCAGCAGGGGGCGATGTTTTTCTATTAATGCAATCAGCTCTGAATTTAACTTTTGTAATGTTTTATCCAAAAAATATAGACATCAAGGTCAAAAGTCCAGATTGGCTTTCTGTATAACTGACTCAGTTAAGACTTGTATGATCATGACGTATACGCTTATGTAAAAGCTAACCCCGTTTTCAAGTTAAATAGTTAACTTGAAATAGTTCCTTTCACATGAAAGAAAAACAATACCTTCTAAAATTCCACTTTTCGGGTTGTTTTTTTTAAAAAAATATTTTTACTGATATATTTCTTTAATTTCTTCCAGAGAAATTGATTTATAATACTTTTTAAAGAGTGAACATTTGCATAAATTGATCGATTATGCTAAAAACAGCTCAAGCAGAAAAAATATATATATCTTGGAATGATAATGAAAGCAGGATCAGAAACACCAAAGGTGAAAAAAACAAAAACAAAAAATAGTTGGTGATATTTCTATTTTCAGTTCTGGAGTACATATTCAGTAACCTCAAAGACAATTATATCTGAAGTGCTTCTTTGCATCAGTACTGTAATATAAAGAAAATAAATGTAGAGATTAATCATATGTTTTTATCTGTAACGTGCTTTTTCTAGGGACTAGATACCCTTATATCACCCTGGTCTCTATATTTTTACCGCTTTTGAAAGTTGGCGCATTTCAGGACTGTTACGAGTTACTGAAATAAACGCTTGCTTCGTTATTCCCACGATCTCCCTTCACATTGCCATCGCTACCTAGAGTTAGCTGAGGCTCTTTAATACTACATTTCCCGTCAAGCTCCTCCCAGGTCGCGCGGGGCTTTCTGGGATTCGTATTTCTCAGAGCGCCTGTCAAGCTTCGTGGAAGCGCGTTTGCTGGACTGCAATTCCCATGCGGCATTGCTGCCTTTATCTCCGTCAAAAAAAACCCGCCTGCCATCAATTCCCCCTTTTTCTGCTAAGAAAAAGGCAGCTGGTTTAGTCCGGTGGAAACTGCGGCGGCGTTTCGGCTTGGCGGTAAGATGTCATTTAAGGAACGTGCCATTGTGCTTGCGTAGGGGGGGGAGGCTCTGGACCCTGCTTTCTTGTTGTCCCGGCACGGAAGGTAAGAAGCAGCTTCCTGGTTTTTATTACGACTGGGGATGCAGGCGCTGGGACGGAACCGGGATTCGCTTTTAGGCCCAGGAAGCCGCCTGATGGATGTGGCAGGGGGGTGGGAGAGGGGACTCTAGATGCCCCCGGGGGAAAGATCTGAGTGGACGCGTTGCAATATTAAAAAAAGAGGTTTTCCTTTAATAATAATCATGGGTTATGAAAAGGATATGGGGTAGGAAGGAAGTTGGGATACAATTTATGTGACAATGGGGTTGGTAAGAGCAAAAAAAACTGCTAGCAACCACTGTAGGGCCCAAAGTGAAACATCTGGAGCAGAGAATGGAAGGCGATTTCTTCTTGTCTTCATTTTATTTCTGCTTCCTTGGCTCCAATTAATTAATGCCAATTAATACCATTCCAGTTAATTCCATTCAAATGGTAGACTCCTTAGGGCAGTGACTGGGGTGTGGGAGAGAAGGCTAGAAATGTGGATCTCACCCACACCCCAGTGGTTCAGAAGCAGTTCACCGGCATCTAGGAATCCAGAGGTTTATTATCACAACTCTGGAATTGAAAATGTTTCAATTGGTTCAATTCTCTTTGGTTAAGCCAGGACCAGAATGACAAGGCTGGTGATTGGCAAATGTCACCGGCTCTCCTTTGGGCATTAGATCTTTTCCGGCTGCCCTCCCAAGACA